AAGATTGTTATCACCCCATGCAAGCTGGCAGAGCCAGGTCTTTAATCCTTTCTGGAAGGCCGGGAGGGTAGGGGCCTGCCGTACCTCTGGGGGGAGAACGTTCCAAAGGGCGGGGGCAGCGGCTCTAACGCTAACTTCCATAGGTCGCGGCGCATTCCTTGCTGGAAGCAGTCGATTTTGAACTGCTCTGGCCAATCCAGAAGCAGCCCCGCAACCCCATGGAATTCCAGTACTTGGTGGGACTACGGGTTCTCTGCCGCATGGTGCTTAGTTGCGCCCGGGCTTTGGTGACTACTCCTGGGTCCTCAAATCTCCTACGAAGAGCGGTTAAAAATCCACCCAGGTGGTTTAGTTCGGGCACTTGTGCTGCTTGGAGCTGGATCAGCCACTCCCCCGCAGCGGCACTGTTTCAGTTTCACCGCCTTAGGCATAAACGGCCAGGAAAGGTAAACAGGCAACTGCAAGCCAATTGCCGGCAAGTGGCGGCAATTAACCTGGGGCGAGAACAAAGGGGAAACAGATACCTTGTAATGCAGCTGGCTTCCCCAAATGCCCCAGGCAATGGTAACCACAATACTCAAGGAACTCAGCTATCCAGCAATGATCTACAACCAATTAAAAACCTCTGGTTTTACCTGCAGAAGGAAAGCTCCATGACCACGGCAATTACAAAATAAAGGAAGCAGGCTGAATCTGCCATTAGAAGAAGGGAGGGGGAGCTTAATGACGGAAGGGCGACCCAAGTATGGGCAGAGGCAGAAGCCAGGGGTACTGCAGGGTCAAGGGGGGAAATCCCATATAAACACTGTAAGGAACATGCCAAGCCAATCCTGGCTTTGTCTGTAACCGTTACGCATTACACCTGAGTAAAGTAACTTTCATCCGAGCCTGTGTCTCACAAGGTTTTTATTCAATGTTGAATGCAGCGATCCTTACAGTAATTAACACCCAATATATTTTTTCCTCTTTTAGCTTTGTTTTTTTTAGTTTTAAAGTTTTTTTTAATAATAATAATAGTTTTATATATATTGGTTTTTTTAGCTCTGTTGTACACTGCCCAGAATCACTTATGAGATGGGCGCCCATATAAAT